AAATAAATAAATAAATTAAAAAAAAGAAAAAAAGAGAAGAAAGCTATTACAACAACACAAAGAAAACAAACATCATAATATAGAGTAAATTTGTTAAAAATTTATTTCTGTTATTTTTTAAATTTATGTGTATGTGTTTGTGACCTAGTGAGTGGATGTCACATATGTGCAGTTGCCCAGAAACCAGAAGGCAATGTCACATCCTTTGGAGGTGAACTCCAGGTGATTGTGAGCCACATGAGTGGATGGTGGGAACTGAACCTGGGTCCTCTGGAAGAAGAGCAAATGCTGTTAACTGCTGAGTCAGCTTTCCAGACTCTAAAGTAAAATTTTAACCAATCCTTGAAAGCTTTATTTAAAGACCAAGATCAATGTCCTAAATTATCACCATTGGGTGTCACTTGTCCCTATAACCTTTGAATGGCAAGCAGGTGGATGGATGTGCTGGCTATGATAATCGATGACATGAACTAGATGCTGTAACCCTGTCTTGTTTTGAATTGTTTTCAAGAGAAAGTGTCCTTAAACATCCACCAACAACAGTTCTTGGTGTCTTGTGACCAGCAGTGATACAACTGAAGCTTAAAAAAAAGTATTTATATTTATTCTCCTTCCAAACATGATAAACTCTCAAGATTTAATGACATCTAAACTTGCATGACATTTACAAAAGGAGCTGCTTGTGAGCACAGACCAGGACAGAGACTGAAGAGCAGGAGCTGAAGGTCTGAACACGGCTTCTAGGTGCAGCTTCTCTGGGCTGTTTGGTTAAGAAGGGAATGCGTTTCCATGCAGACACACTGAGTAGCACAAAATGCAGGAATTGTTTAGTCTGCCTTGTCCAAGTCTCCTCTGCTGTATGATTCTAGATGAGATCATGTAAATGTGCAATTTAATATCCTTTCCACTTGAAAGGATAAAATAAGCATCTCTACATCCCTATTAAATATTCTTTGAAAATTTATTTTTAATGGCTACTGTTTTAACACATGGGCATGTGAAAGTGTAGAATTATCCCTCCATTGGATTTTAACTGTCTGGTTTTTGTTGTAAACAGAGCTTTAGTTAATAGGATTTACAACATTGTTCACGTCTCTATTTTACAGGACACATTTGTAGAAAGTGTATGTATATTTTGTCTTTCTTTTTTCTGATGTTTTATTTTTTGAAACAGAGTTTCTCTGTATAACTATGGGTGTCCTGGAACACACTCTGTAGACTAGGATGGCTTTAAATTTGAGATCCACCTGCCTCTGTTATATATTGTTTTTTTTTTAAGACACATTTTCTGTTTCATTGATGCATGTCTTGGAACTAGCTCTTGTAGACCAGGCTGGCCTCAGATTTATAGAGATCCACCTGCCTCTGCCTCCCAAGTGCTAGGATTAAAGGCATGAACCACCACTGCCCAGCCATATGTATATTTTTTATGACTTTAAAATAATAAACTACTGTTTGAGGGCTACTATTTTCCAATCATGTGTATGTATATTATGTGAATCCTGATGTGAATGCCACAATAGAGAGAGAAGCTCACCAAGATGCCAAGTCTTCATTTTCTGAAGGAGCAGAGGGGTTCATCCTTATGGAAGAGACTGACACCTAGCTCACACTAGTTCACTCTAGTTACTTCATTCAACCATATACAAGGTTAACAGAGTCTGGGAAAAGTTCCAGATCCTGTAGTCATCTTGTTTTTCCTGCCTGTGAAAGCAGACAGCCCACATATTATGGAATGCTGTAATCTAAAGTAAGAACTCCAGGATTCCAGGAGTATCTTCAGATCAAGGTAATTACAGCTATAAGCTCTCATAGAGCTCCAAGTGCAGAGTCTTTAGAGAGTCAACATTTCTTCTAGGTTTAAACAATCTCAAAACAATTCTTAGCCTCCACCAATCAACCCAAACATAGCAAAGGCTTTGCTGAAACATGTCACTCAAAGCCAGGCACAACGTCTTTACTATACACATCACTACACGTGTGCATACAGAATCAGAAGCTCCCAGGACACAAACTCACTGATCGCATAGGGAGTATAATGGTTAAAACTGTGTTTGTGTTTCCAGGCATTTTCAGATGAATTTGACAAAAGGAGTCATGGAAATCCAAGTGACACCCAAGGTACAGTAAAGTGTTTAAGTTGACCAGTGATTTCTTGTTACCAAGTAACTGTTCAATGATAGGGAAAGGATGACGGTGGCCATTTCTCTGATAAGTCAAATTGTGGATCATATTAGGTGAAAATTAAAGGATATTCCATGCATTTGAGTATAAAAGAAACTGGCCTGACTTGGGCAAAAGGGAAAGGTGGGCCAGGTCATATAAGCTGTAGAGTGGGATTTTTAAATTACTGATGAGACTACTAACTCCAATGAATCATGTGACTTGGCATTTCCAAGAGACACCTTAAAAGACAATACAAGCCAACACTTCGCTGTCACATGTGGTTTGCTCTTTTTGAGTTCATCTTGTTTGGGGTTCACTGGAGCTTTGTTTTGAAGCAGAGTTTTGTCATATTGCCCAGGATGGCCCCAAAACTTCTAAACTCAAATCATCCTCCTGTCCTAGCCCAGAGCCAGGGCTGCAGTAAAAGGCAGCCAATACAGTGATAGAGAAACCTGCGACCTCAGCTATTCTTGCTTCTGATGACTTGGTGTGTTGTAAAAGGAGCGATGGGGTCGGCTCCCGGCTAGCTTTACCGGAAATAATTACACGGAAACTGTATTCATTTAAACACTGCCTGGCCCATTATATCTAGCCTCTTCTTAGCTAACTCTCACATCTTAATTAACCCATTTCTAATAATCTGCATATCACCACATCACTGTAGCTTACTGGGATGAGTCTAACCCACATCCATCTCGGAGAGGAGAGCCATAGCATCTGCCTGACTCTGCTTCTTTCTCCCAGCATTCTGTTCTGTATACTCCACCCACCTAAGGGCTGGCCTATTAAAAAGGCCAAGGCAGCTTCTTTATTTAGCCAATGAAAGTAACACATAGACAGAAGAACCTCCTACATCATTGGTGCCTAATTCTGTCTTTTCTTTCCTCTGGACAGGTTTCTATGGGAGTCTCTCCAGCCCTATGTTAGGAGTGTATGAAATGAATATTGGCCCGATCCTCTTCCAAGTGGCCACGGGGGACATCACCAAAGAAGTGGCAGATGTGATTGTCAATTCAACATCAAAGACGTTTAATCTCAAATCAGGTACTTAGTGAGATGGATTCTGTCTCATGCAAGAATCAATGTGGTAGATCCTATGAAGAAGTGTTTCTATAGACAAAACAGTTTGTTGACTTTGGCTTGTTCCTGTTAACTAATATCTATAAACCTAATTCAATGGGCTTTCTTACAACTGGCAACAATTTTGAAAATGTCTCCTCTGTCATTACTGCTCTATGATGGGGTATGTTGAGACACAAAGGTGTCATTCTGATCAGATCACCATCTTGATTTTCTCGTGCAGGCGTCTCCAAAGCAATTTTGGAAGGTGCAGGACCAAGTGTGGAGAATGAATTTTCTGTCTTGGGTAAGGAATGATGCTGCTTCTTGGAGCTGGATTGGAAGGGGAAGATTGACTGTGGGAGGCTGTGAGGAAACTGAGGAAGGGCCTTGGGCTGAGAAGACAATGTATTAATCATTTTTGGTTTTGTTTTGTTTTGAGACTCATGTATTCATCTTAATATAATATATTTTATGAAAAAATTCCATACGAAAGAAAGTTAAAAGTGTGTAGTATTTTGTGAACTTTTAATTCATAAAATGTTTCCTCATCAAATCAGACATCTTGCCTTCTCCAAGTGCAGATCAGCGTCTGACTCTGAATCTGCTCCTGTTTCACAGCTCAGCAGAACAGTGAGTACATAGTTACTCAAGGTGGATCACTGAGATGCAAGAGTATTATTCACGTTGTTGGTGGGAACGACGTGAAGAGATCAGTGTCCTGTGTTTTGGAAGAATGTGAACAACGGAACTACTCATCCATTTGCCTACCACCCATTGGCACAGGTCTGTAGCTGCAGGCTATCAAAGCTCCATCCCAAAGTGTCCACTTCCCCATGGATTTGGTCTTCACTGGGTCTGGTTGATGACAACGACACCTTCCCTAGGAGTAGATAGTTTCCTCACTCCAAGGCACCCTGTCCACTAGGGAATGAATAAAGCCCGTGGGTTCTTTGAGTAGAAGGAGGAAAATGAGCAGGGTGAATTTATGTGCACCTTTGTGTAGTGATGAGGCGAGCAGGCTTGCTTTTCATCCCACCCGGCTCCTGCATGGCTAGTTTTACACCCAAAATAACCACACACAAATTGTATTCTTTTAAACACTGCTTGGCCCATTAGCTCTAGCCTCTTCTTGGCTAACTCTCACATCTTGCTTAACCCATTTCTAATAATTTGTGTAGCACCACAAAGTGGTGGCTTACCGGGAAAGATTCAGCATGTCTGACCTAGTGTCTGGCTCCATGGCATCTGACCAGGGGAGGAGAGGCATGGTGATTGCCTCACTTCCCTCTTCCTCCCAGCATTCTGTTCTGTCTACTCCACCCACCTAAGGGCTGGCCTATCTAATGGCCAAGGCAGTTTCTTTATTAACCAATGAAATCAACACAAAACAGAAGACCCTCCCACATCACCTGTGGTCCCAATGACTGGAAGGACAGAGGCAGGAGGAGTGACCTGTGTTCTCACAATTGTCTACAAGGTTAGTCAAAGGCATCTGCTGTAATTTCCTGCACCACTGGTGGGCACCATTAACAGGGATAATCCAGATAGTCTCTCAGTTGATCAAACCAGCTTGCCCAGGAGACTTTTACACTGCCTGTCATGTGACTTTGGCAGCTGCTATTCACTTTGGGCTATTCCCCAGTCTTACCTTTCAGTGGGTTTGAGGGCTTGAGAAACAAGATCTGAACATAGTGAAGACAGGAGTGGACCTACTCAGTGGCTGATTTGAATTCTGCTGGGCAGCAAAAATGGTGCAGAGTATGGGGAAGAAAGACGTCGTGGAGGCTCAGGGTAACTAATAGGCTAGAATTACAGATTATAACAAGTATCTTACAGCCTTATATTACCTTAGTTTAAATCAGGTTCCCAGAGGTATCTGGCAGAATCCATACATCCATAAGATCTATCAGAGGCTAAGATTGTTCTGTAAGGACCATGTTGTTTCAAGATGTATTATTATTTTTCTTCTTTTTTGCCTTTTATGATCTTTTGAAGACTCTAGTAAATCAAGGAGGAAGTCACCTGGACTCTAATTGGAGGGGAGTGACCTTGGGAGCCAGGATCAGCTGAAAAGGACAGATGTGACTGTCAGAAATTAGAACGGGTTTCAGGGTCTTGTCCTGGAGCATTGACCTGTGGAAAGCATGGAATAGAAACACCTCCCCACTGTCTCTAGGATGTCAAAACTATTTGATGATGTTATGTTTGAAACTATGCAGCAATTAGGGTGGGGCCGGGCATTTTTCTTTCCTGTGACATCTGGAATTCCTTGTTTATGTCATAGATTTTTGCAGATGGATCTTAACCTTGTCTTTTGTGTGTGTGTGTTTTTTTTTTAAAGGAAGTGCTCAACAGGACCCAGATGCAGTTGCTAAAGCCATAATGGATGCCATTGAAGAATTTATCTGGAAAAGGTCAGCGCCGGCTGTGAAGAAAGTCAAAGTTGTTATCTTCCAGCCTCATATCCTGGATATATTTTATGACAACATGAAAGACAGAGAAGGCTCCCCAGCTCCTCCCCAGCTGTCTCTACTGTCTAAGACCACCTGTGAGTTGTTCGCTTTTATCAAATACATATTCCTCACCTTGATGCTGAGGGGAGTAAAAGAAAATTAATTTTCATTTTCTCTTTAGCCTTTTTAGGCTTTCCAAAGCACACTCCACATGAACAGAAGACCCTGTTTTTGGAGAAGAAAATAGAGCAGACCGTTTTCCAGGTATGTGGCATAGACGAAGACAGTGTGGAAAACACGATCTCCTGGATACAGAATCTGATCAACAAAGAGCAGCTACCCTATAGCAGTGATGATGAGTGTGTCAGAGACTTTGGTGAGAAGGAGTACAAGAAGCTGAATGAGCTGCAGGAGAGGCTGAATATCGTCATTGAGCTGGACCAGAAGGCACCTTTGATTGAAGTTTCAGGAATTAGCAGAGATGTGATAGAAGCCAGAGATGAGATTGTAAACCTGATCAAGAGCATCCAATTGGCTAAAGAGAAGGAAAGCCAGGCAGACCATATCCTCACATTCGTGGAATGGCGATATATTGTCAACAACATCACACACTGTTTCGACAAAACAGCTACCATGCAGTTGGAGAACGCACGGCAGGCAAAGCACAAGAGCACTGTTGTCAAAATTAATAATCAGGACTTCACAGTGAACTTGAGGACGAATATGGCCACAGGCCCTCAAGGACAGAGTGTTACAGTTCAGCGCATCTTGAAAGATGAAGGTATGTTACATGCTCGTGGGTGTCAGCCATTGCCCCATCTCTGAGTTTAACATTATTTTAGAAATTGAGCAGGTTTTTTTTTTTTTTCTAAATAAGAGTTTCTTTGAGGAACTAGTTCTTGTTAACCTGGCTGGGCTCAAACTCAGAAATCCTACTTTGCTCTCCCAAGTGGGGTTAAGGGTGTGTGCCACCACCACCCAGTTTGCTTTGTTTTTGACAGTATTTTATCATGTAGCCATGCTGGCCTGAAACTTTTGTTTTCCTTTTGAGACAGTGTTTCACTATGTAGCCATGGTTGACTTAGAAGGTGGACCAGGCTGGGCTCAAATTCAGAGAATTGTCTGCTTCTGCCCAATTCTATGCCTATCTTTTCTTTCATGAGCCAAATGTTACTGGGTACCAGGTCAGAAAGTAGCCTCCAGAGTCCCTGTGGATCTATCCCCAGAAAGAGAGTGACTCACTCGCTATTTACTCTTTACTTGCCTTGAACTCATGATTCCCTTATCATTACCTCTACCATTAAAGTGCTAGGATTCTAAGTGTATACCACCATTCCCAGACTAGAATCATGGCTTCTAATAACAAATGATGTTCTATAGTAAAAGTTATGCTGCCTACTTTTGAGGTCTGAATAACTTTTACCCATCAACAACCAGCTATTCCAGATGTCAGACATAACTGCTCAGATCTTCTATTCTTATTGGAATAATAAAAAAAACATTTTCTGGAAAACACAACACACATGTCCATTCACCTCAGAGAGCCTACAAGAGAACAAAGCCCAACATCATGAACCAATGACTGTTATTAAGGGTCTTACAGGAGTATGGGTGAGGGGTTACTTAGAGGAACAGAAATGACTCAAAGGCAGCCGCATCAGCAGAGCACAGCCCAGCTCACAAAGCCATGACTCTGGAGCACACAGCAAAGGCTGCAGGCAGCTCAGCGGGTTGGAGAGCATTCTTTCCACATAACACTGGTCTAAACCTCTTCCATGCAACTTGGTTGGTTTCTAATTCTTTCAGGTACAGGTCTGGTGTCATCATTACTGCTTGTCTTCTCTTAGAGTCAGAGCTGCATTTCTGAGTCTTCCTTGCAGCTCTGTCCTGCCAGTCTCAGAGCAACTCTCAGGAGTCTTAATGGATTACTCTAAAAAGGGGAACCTAGTGAATTTAATCAGGTTCTGTGATTGCCCAGAGAGGACACTGGGGGTCGTCTATGAGTTCTCTCTCATTTCTGTTGGAATGTGTGTTTCATGTCTCCCCTGAAGCTAAGGAGAGAGTACTGAAAAAGAGAGACCATGACATGGTGATTGATGGCAAACCTGTGACCATTTTCCTAGAAACCACGAAAAGGCCAGAAGAGGATCTGAGATCCAGTCCTTCATTTTTGGCAAAGCAAGCTGAGGATCCAAGCTCCAGACCTCCATCTTTGGCACAACATGCTGAGGCTCCAAGCTTGAGATCTCCATCTGTGATTCAACCAACTAAGGTTCTAAGCTCCAGACCTGCATTTTTGGCAGACGCAGCTGAGGTTCCAAGCCCCAGACCTACATCTTCGACACAGCCAGCTGAGGTTACAAGCTCCAGACCTCCAACTTTGGCAGAGCCAGCTGAGGCTGCAAGCTCCAGACCTCCATCTGTGACACAACCTGCTGAGGTTCCAAGCTACAGACCTCTATCTTTGGCAGAGCCAGCTGAGGCTGCAAGCTCCAGACCTCCACCTTTGGAAGAGCCAACTGAGGATGCAAGCTCCAGACCTCCATCTTTGGAAGAGCCAGCCGAGGCTGCAAGCTCCAGAACTTCATCTTTGGCAGAGGCAGCTGAGGCTGCAAGCTCCAGACCTCCATCTTTGGCAGAGCCAGCTGAGGCTACAAGCTCGAGACCTCCATCTTTGGTAGAGCCAGATGAAGCTGCAAGCTCCAGACCTCCATCTTTGGCAGAGCCAGCTGAGGCTGCAAGCTCCAGACCTCCATCTTTGGCAGAGCCAGCTGAGGCTGCAAGCTCCAGACCTCCATCTTTGGCAGAGCCAGCTGAGGCTGCAAGCTCCAGACCTCCATCTTTGGCAGAGCCAGCTGAGGCTGCAAGCTCCAGACCTCCATCTTTGGCAGAGCCAGCTGAGGCTGCAAGCTCCAGACCTCCATCTTTGGCAGAGCCAGCTGAGGCTGCAAGCTCCAGACCTCCATCTTTGGCAGAGCCAGCTGAGGCTGCAAGCTCCAGACCTCCATCTTTGGCAGAGCCAGCTGAGGCTGCAAGCTCCAGACCTCCATCTTTGGCAGAGCCAGCTGAGGCTGCAAGCTCCAGACCTCCATCTTTGGCAGAGCCAGCTGAGGCTGCAAGCTCCAGACCTCCATCTTTGGCAGAGCCAGCTGAGGCTGCAAGCTCCAGACCTCCATCTTTGGCAGAGCCAGCTGAGGCTGCAAGCTCCAGACCTCCATCTTTGGCAGAGCCAGCTGAGGCTGCAAGCTCCAGACCTCCATCTTTGGCAGAGCCAGCTGAGGCTGCAAGCTCCAGACCTCCATCTTTGGAAGAGCCAGCTGAGGCTGCAAGCTCCAGATCTCCATCTTTGGCAGAGCCAGCTGAGGCTGCAAGCTCCAGATCTCCATCTTTGGCAGAGCCAGCTGAGGCTGCAAGCTCCAGACCTCCATCTTTGGCAGAGCCAGTTGAGGTTCCAAGCTCCAGACCTCCATATTTGACACAACCAGATGAGGCTCCAGGCTCCAGTCCTCCATCTTTGAAAAAGACAGCTGAGACTACAAGCTCCAGACCTCCGACTGTAACACAGACAGCTGACGCTTCAAGCTCTAGACATACATCTTTGACAAAGCCAGCTGAGCTCCACACAAGCAAGATGCCCACAGCATTACCTTCTAGTTCCTGCCCACCGTCTCCACTACTAGTGAGGCCCCAGAAGTCCATTCCTGGGATCCAGTGGGAAATAAAGAAGTACTTTGAGAGCCAGGATTCAGGCGGCGGGGAGTGCAGTGTCCAGCCCGTGGGTCCCAGTGCTCCTGACACCTTCGAGGTGAACTTCTTAGAAAGGGCAGGTGAGTTGGGACAGCAGAACAGGGCCAGGGTTGGGTGAAAAGGCAGCCATGCAGGTGTCCAAACAGACCCACTCATGCTTCCAAGGAGAGTCCACGGGAGTGTGGCACTGCCTGTTTGAGCCACTGCCACTCACAGACATCCTCCAACCCACAGTGGAAAACAGAGCCTTAGATGTGCCCAGCCCTTGACCTGGTTTGGCTGCTTCCTAGGAAGAGCTTCCATTTGCTATCTGAGTTGCCCAGTTATCCAGCAGACAGTCTTGAGGGGAGAAAGGGAAGTTGGGATGAGGATTGGAACAGAAACCAAGGGTCTTGTGCTAGCTAGGCAAGTGCTCCACCAACTGAATGACATCCAAAGCACCTTTCTGTTGTAAATAATGCTTCCATTGACTTGTTTCTAAGGAATACAAAAGTAATATATGATCACTTTTTGAAAAAAGCCAAAAAAATTGCCCTGTGGTGTTGAAATAGGAAGCGGCGGGGCTACGTCCCCAACACCCCGGCCGCTTGGCTAGGTTATGCCCGAAATAACAACACACAAACTGTATTCATTTAAGAACTGCTTGGCCCATGAACTCTAGCTCCTTATTGGCTAGCTCTTACATATTGTTCTAACCCATTTCTAATAATGTGTGTAAGCACCCCAAGGTGCGCTTACCAGGAAGATTCTAACCTATGTCCATGTTGGGTCGGAGCTTCATCGTGTGTGCCTCAGAGAGCAGAGCTATCAGGAGAGCAGAGCATGGCGTCTCTGCTCTAGAGAGCAGAGCTGTCAGGCCTCTCCGGGAGCAGAGCAGAGTCTGACCTCACTTCCTCTTCCGCCCAGAATTCTATTCTGTTTACTCCTCCCATCTATGTTCTAAGCTATGAGGCCAAGCAGTTGGTTTATTATAATTAACCAATGACCTTCCTCCATCATTGTGGTGCACTGTGGGAACATTCTCATGTATTCTTTTTTGTGAATCAGCTAATGTTTGTACATTTAAATCATTCTAAGCTTTGGGGTTATTAGTTTGCAGGGGTTTCCCAACTTAACTATACAGGAAATATTATTTCATGTCATAGAAATGAGAATTCGAGTCCATTACAGAAGCATAGGTTTGGCGTCACCCCTTTTGAGACAGTCTCACTATGCATTCTTGGCTGGACTTGAACTCATGATCCCCTTACCCTTACCTCTACAGTTAAATTGCTAGGATTCCAGGTGTATAGCACTGTGCTCAGAGGAGAAACATGGCTTCTAATAACCAAATGATATTCTACAGTAAAACTCATGCTGCCTTCTTTTGAGTTCAGAATAACTTTCTTTCATAACAACCTGCTATTCCAGAATGCCAGACACAACTGCTCAGGGCCTCTGTTCTTATTGGGACACAAAACTCTTCCTGGGGAGACACAACACACAAATCCACTCCCCTCAGATTGGGAGCCCACAAAAGACCAAAGCTCAACTTGGTCAACCAATGACTTTTATTGGGATTTCTTACAGGAGTATGGGTAAGGGGGTTTCTTTTTTATTGATTTTATTGAGCTGCCCATTTTTCTTTGCTCCCCTTCCTTCCTTCCTTCCTCTCTCTTCCCCTCAACCCTTTCCTGTGGTCCCCATCTCCCAATTTACTCAGGAGATTTTGTCTTTTTCTACTTCCCATGTAGATTAGGTCCATGTATGTCTCTCTTAGGATCCTCATTGTTGTCTAGGTTTTCTGGGATTATGAATTGTAGGCTGGTTTTCTTTGATTTATGTCTAAACATTACTTATGAATGAGTACATATGATATTTTACTCCCTGGGTCTGGGTTACCTCACTCAATATGATGTCTTCTAGATGCATCCATATGCCTGCAAATTTCAAGATGTCATTAGTTTTTTTTCTGCTGTGTAGTACTCCATTCTGTAAATGTAGCACATTATCCTTGTTCTTTCTTTGGTCAAGAAGCATTTAGGTTGTTTCCAGGTTCTTGTTATGAAAAACAATTGCTGCTATGAACATGGTTGAGCACATGTCCTTGTGGTATGATTGAGCATCCTTTGGCTATAAACCCAAAAGTGGTATTGCTGGGTTTTGAGGAAGGTGGTTTCCTAATTTTTCGAGAAATGGCGATACTGATATATCAAGGGGCTATACCAGCTCTCAATCCCACCAGCAGTGCGGGAGTGTTTTCTTTACTCCACAACCTCTCCTGAATAAGCAGTCATCAGTGCTTTTGATCTTGGCCATTCTTAGAGGTGTAAGATGGAATCTCAGAGTTTTTTTGATTTGCATTTCTGTGATTGCTAAAGATGTGAGCAATTCCTGTCTTACAGTTATTTTAGATTCCTCTATTGAGAGTTTCTATGTAGGTCTGTACTACATTTTTTTCATTGAATTGTATGTGTGTGTGTGTGTGTGTGTGTGTGTGTGTGTGTGTGTGTGTTTGAGACAGGGTTTCTCTGTAGCTTTTGGAGCCTGTCCTGGAACTAGCTCTTGTAGAGCAGGCTGGCCTCGAACTCACAGATATATTAGCCTGCATCTGCCTCCCAGGTGCTGGGATTAAAGGCGTGTGCCACCATTGCCAGATTATGTGTTCTTTCGATGACCAATTTCTTGAGTTCTTTGTATATTTTGGGGATCAATCCTGTGTCTGATGTGGGGTTAGTGAAAATCTTCTCCCATTCTGTAGGCTTTCATTTCTGATTTTGATAATTGGGATATTTTTTCTCTGCCTTTTGATTAGTTTGAATAATGGTTTGTCTATTTTGTTGATTTTCTTGAAGAACCGTTTCTTTGTTTCATTGAGTCTTTGTATTTTTTTTTGTTTTTATTTTGTTGATTTCAGCTCTCAATTTGATTATTTTCTGCCATCTAGTTCTCCTGGGTGAGTTTTCTTCTTTCTGTTCTAGAGTTTTCAGGTGTTCTATTAACTCACTAGTGTGGGATTTTCCCAGCTTTTTTATGTAGGCATTCAATGTTATGAACTTTCCTCTCAACAGGGCTTTCATTGTGTCCCATAAATTTGAATATGTTTTGTGGTCCTTTTCATTAAATTATAGGAAGTCTTTAATTTCTTCCTTGACCCATTGATGCTTCAGTTGAGCATTGTTTAATTTCCATGTGTTTATGGGCTTTCTGGAATTAGTTGATTTCTGTTGAATTCTAATTTTAAGCCATGGTGATCCAATAAGATACGGGGAATATTCCAAGTTTTTTGTATCTGCTGAGTTTTTTTTTTGTTGTTGTTGTTTTTGTTTTACCTAGTATTGGTCAGTTTCTTAAATGGTTCGATCAGGTGCTGACAAGAAGCTATAGTCTTTTATGTTTGGATGGAATGTTCTATAGATGTTTGTTAAGTCCATTTGAGTCATAACATCTGTTAGTCCCCTATTTCTCTGTTAATTTTTTGTCTGACAGACCTGGCCAGTGGTGAGAGTGGAATGTTGAAGCCTTCCACTATTAGTGTGTGGGGTTTAATGTGTGATTTAAGCTTTAGAAGTGTTTCTTTTACAGATGAAGGGGCCCTTGTATTTGGGGCATAGATGTTCAGTATTGAGATTTCCTCTTGATGGATTTTTCTTGTGACTAATATGAAATATCCTTCTTTGTCTCTTTTGATTGATTTTAG